CTCCGTCCGACCTGAAGTAAAGACATAATATTTTTGCGCCTTTTATGATCCACAAGAGAAGACTTGCAAAGGCTGTTTTTGAGATAGTTAACAAAATCTTATCTTGTAATTAGTTTTTGTTGTTAGTCGCATTCTTCATTGTTTTGAATAATTTGTATAATTACCATTATTGACACACTTCTTTCTGACAATTTAAGTCACTCCCCATGTTTTTCCTTGTGTACAATTCATATTTTGATATGTACTTAATTGTCTCTATCTTCGTTATAACATTTCCATTACTTGGAATTGATAATACTTTGTCCGCCACGACATTCCACGAAAAATAATCTGACGAGATAATCGTTGTGATAAACTAACTTGTTACTCGCGTGTTAACATCCTAACTCTGTGGAGTAGCTACCCTGAACGATAACATAAAACTTACGTTGGACTAACTCCTGTTACCGACAAGTGGTAGAGAATGTCATTGTCACTCTAAAGAGTCCCCTTATTCAAAAGGAGTTATGGAGATTCTGCAAGCTAAAAAGCAAAGCTTCTCAACAACAAAGTCATTACCGTAGAATGCGTAGTTCTGTCTGATCCAGGTGTCGTTGTAATAGTTAGTATCAACTTAAAGTCGAAGTTTACCAGCAGCTGTGGAGGCTTGTTTCTTGTTGGCAGAGGAGAACTTACATCAGGGAAATTTCTGAGGATGGATCAAAATGTTCAAAAAAGCGTCGGGACTGTTATTAATACGTATTTATTGCAAATTTATAATGTGATTTGACCTAAGGAATGACTTGATCTCAACGAATAATTCTCAGTAGCTATGATGAAATCGTTGAGTGACAGAAAAGTCCTCCATAGTGAAGCAGTAGGGTAGCTAAATGAACAAATCAACCATCTGCAAACCACTCATCGGATTTGGCTGGGTTGACATACTTCGATTAATAAGGTTTTGCATGTAAAGGCGTTGTCAAACCCCAAATACTTGTGGTATCTTTAGTCTTAATGATCCAATGTTTTCATACATGACAAAATTTCATTATAAATGTATTATCGGGTAAAAGAGTCTGAATTTGGTTTTTTACAACCACTAGAAAGTTGCATTTACAATGAAATATGGGCTGGATACTGCAGCTCATACCCGGGATAAATAAATCCTAGGAGTACCCACTCCTTAAATCATTGAACATTTTTGTAAACCTTTTTTTCATTGATCTAGCTAGATAAATACACCCCATGATGCATCCTCTCCATTCAGCGACTTAGCATATTTGAAGTTTCTCCTATTTTCTAGATATTAATTCTGTAAGTTTTACTCTGACCTATGATCATATTTCTCCGTCCTTTTGACCGTTATCATCCTTTCTTTTGTATTTGTTCAGAGTACAGATTTCATGTGAACGTATTTCCAGTTTTATTTGATCTTATCACGGTATTTTTATTATGTACAGCAATTTCCAAAGCATTATTTGTTATTACCAGTGAGTCATTTATAAATCTAAAAATGGGTATTATCTTTAACCGTTGATATGGATTACCACACTTTGACCACAACCATTTTCTAACTACTAAACTAGTTGAGGAGTAAATTTAAATCGTCTTGAAGAATAATGTTGGCAAAATCACCACATTTTCATTCATACTTCTACACTATCTTTACGTAAACGTGCAGAAGATCAGAGTAAGTCCAGCGATTTATTAAAAATGATTGTAAATGAATAGTAAGATAACGACCAATGGTTTTCATACTGATACTATTCAGAACTTTAAACATATGGTTTTTTTCCATTCTGTAAATTGTGCAGACATAGTTTGATAGTGCTTGGTGAGGATTATAACTAGGCAACTACAGACTAGATTCGAAACGCAGTGATCCTGGTCTTCCAAATCTAACTGAAATACAAAGATTAATGAGAAATTACTTTGTTCGTACGTCGCCTAAAATTCTATACTTGAGCTGTTGTACCTCCAGAAATCGTTGATATTATCACCGGCTTTGGTCAACACAACTCCATAAGAAATGTCGACAGTGGTCTTTTCAACTCGATGCGAGTAATCAAAATAAAAGAAGCAGTGCTCAGAATATCACATCTTTAAACATTGAATACATGATCGTAATTTAATATCTAAGTTACGTATCAAGAACATGACTCCAAATTATAACTTATCTCGTACTTTGACAAGAAGTCCTTTATAGCAACTACCTGGAGATCAGTAGCAAACAATTGCCGAAATATATGTGAAATCTCGTCGGTTTTATATGATGTATGTCGCTTAAAGGATTTGCTACCAAAAGTTTAGACTTGCGACATAGTTTATAAGGCCCGCCACCTTTTAAACTGTACAATTTAGCCCTAATTTAACAACAGACTATTTATGCACTGGAAATTTGTTGTTCCTCTACTACATGAAAAATTTTGTTATAACAGGCTAAAGAAAATGGTTGAGGAAGTTTCACGTAAACAATTACATAGGATTTGTGGCAGTTTGATCTTGCCAGTAAGTTTCTATGCCTCATGTAACTTATGTTTATTGAGAATAAATTATTGTCATTATTTTTATAAGTTGCCCCTGTTTGTATTCAATTAATTGACAAATGGATGGTTCGAGTACTCTCAGATCATTACTGATATTTTGTCCGTTGCAAGTAAGTGTAGCATTTATTTACAACAGATATCAATAGCATTATTAACTGTACACCACTTCTCACAGGTTTCCGTCCATTTGGCAAATGTTTGATTTTATTCTGTCTTAGATCATTTAGAACGTCTGCTATCCAAATTTATACCATTCTGGAAGTTCTTAAGTTAAAGTGTGTCTGCACAATTCCTGTATGAGATATCCCATAATGATCATTACCAAACAGTTTTTTTTTTGTAGACAATGCACCACGTGCTTTTATATGATCATCAGGGATCTTGATAACTGGGAACCAACAGTGAGCTGTGCTATTCAAATCATACTTATGCCTGTTGGTGTTTAGTTCAATCACAACAAGTGTGAAAGAAACTTTTAACAGTGTATGTGTGGTGGCTGTGCTTCGATAACTAATCACCCCCGAACCGTTATCGTACAATCTTCAACGGTGTTTGAGATCAGAAGGCAGAAAGAAGCAGCTAATACAGTTTGTTTAACAGATAATTCGAACCAGAGAGCAGAGAGGCAAAATGAATGAGCAAGTGAACTACGATTGTAGCAGTAGCAGTAGTAGTAGTGAATGGGTGCATATATATATATATATATAGGAAAATGGATGAGTCGGCAAATAGATTAAGCAGTTAATAGTGAAGCTATCAGAATGAATACATGCGTATTCGCTAAACAATATTCAAGCATATGTATTTCATACAAACACAATAATAATAACGGTACAAGTTGTTATAGCATGGATGACTTTGTCCATTAAATAGGTCAACAAAAGACCTTGACTGAACTAAACTCAATTGCACGTGAGTCGCTATATATGCTTCATAATTGCAAGTTTCAGAACCGTGGAATAATGCCAATACGTGATCGGTAATAAATTAAATGGATTAAACTAGCTCATCACAAAGATAATGGATTGTGGATTATAATTTAGACATGTAAACGACTGAAATTAACAAAATGACAGACCGGCAGTTTAACAAGAATTTCTTTCGTGGGAGTAGTACTATTCAGAGCATGAGATATGCTAAGCTTCCTTGCAGGCAATTCAGTGGTAGTCCACCCATACAACGGAATCAATGGACATGCCAACTCATAGTAGTTCAGCAAATTACTAGGTTTTAGGTTACTTTGCCATAAGAAGTCTTCTCGTTTTATGACAAATACAGATATGCCCAACCCAGCTGTCTTACTTGTTCAGAGCCTGTCGAGTGATATTGAATTCTAAACAAACTATCTAACGAGTCAGGCGTGCCCTAACAAGAGAAACTAATCAATGGACATTGGATACTTCACTGGAATTCATTGACTACAGAAGTAATGGTCAGTAAGAGTAATTAAACTAGAGCATCGAGGAAACCGGTCGCTTATTATGCACATTGTAGTATGTAAACAAATTGCCAGCCTGATATGATCCTACCCTTACTTTAAGTTTGCTATGGAAAGGCTTAGGTAAAAATGATGGAAACAATGCAGTTTGACTTCGACTCAGGATTATGCAAGTTAAGTAGCAGTGTCATTCTTGTTAATTTCCAGTGAACGGGGACTACTGATAGATAGATACTTCAGTAGACATAGTATCCGGGGGGTGACCAGTTGGAGAAGTCATCAATTAGTGATCATGCAGAAGACATTCGACTTCAGGCAGTTTCAAAATTTTCCAGCAGATATGAATTAGAGTAACATGTACAGGTAGATACTGTTTTTTTTTTTACCAAGATTCTCATCAGGCTTCAATATACAATAACACCTATACACATATACGTGATTAAACCAAGCTGATTTATGGGTCATTGGAATAGACTAAGCAGAAATGAGTAGAGTGGACATCAATAGTGCGACGATAGGTGTACTAATTGACAACAATGCTGTTGATTTGTAGTGTAGGGATTTCTTGAATTTCATGAGCTACTTATGAGTATGCCGAGATATGGCCGAGAGTGGACTGGATCTGCTCTACCTCTCGAAATGCTCTCACACGGCTACGTGTATACAGTCTCTGTTAGGGAAGCCCTACTCACTGAGAGGACGAAAAGCGGATGTCCGGATAGTCCACCTAAGGGAGTTGGAAAACCCTGATTCCAAACCAATGATGCATATGGGTTTCAGTATCCTTAGGGAGCAAATGATGTATGAACCAATGGTAGGTAACCGGCTACCATGTGACTGCATCACCTTATGTTGATTCACTGCCTTGTGGATTAGACCTTCAGGTCAAAGGCTCCGAGTGTAGTTCCCTAAGAAAACCACCGGCCTGGGCACCCGAACAGTATTCCAGCCCTCACGTAAATCCAATGATTGATGTGGTGCGTATGTATTTAGTACCTTCTTGTATCAATATCTGTGTTGAAATAAAATATGGGCATGGTAACATTAAGAAGTTTTCGAAAGCACTGAAAGATGGTACACATCAAATGCGAACAGATAAACCCAAACAATCCCAATTAAGTAAGAAGAAAAGACGACCTACTCTCAAACATAACAAATGCATAAAAACGGAAACGGGCGTAATTTAGAAATGTAGATATGATGCTGCATTAAAAAGAATATCATTAATGCATCGAAAAAATGAGACAAGATGATAGTATTTGACGAAAGAGCAAGTGAAATGAAAACACTTAATAAACGAAACGAGCAAAATAAGACCGGTTATTGTCTTACATAGCATTGACAAAAGCGAGAACGAAATTTGTTCTCTAAATAACCATTTTAGTGTACTTTACAACTAATGTATAACATATAACGAGCAGCTATCCTACGACGATTCCGCATGTGTATCCTCAACACACTCTGCATTTGATATAGGGTCTTTAGGAGGTTCATCTTCCTTGACTGACTTTCGTTCTTCTTCCTCTTCTTCTTCATCGTCATTTTCCTCCTCATCTTCGTCTTCACCATCTCCACGAGCATCTGTTGCTGACTCTTCTTTTGTAGAATCTTCTAACAGTTTAGCTTTGGCAGTTTCTAAAGCATGTTCTCTCTTCATATCAATAATGTGGCTGGGGAGTCCAAATAAAGTTAGAATAGTCTGAAAAAGAAGACAGTATGCTATCAACCGTTGGAAGTATTGTATAAGCCCTAATTTTGAAGCCACTGAGGAAATGTGATCACAGAAAACAGCAAATGGAAAATTCATTGACTGAATAATTAAATAGTCTTTATACAAACCGAGATATAGGTTATATGAAATGAACACAAAAGCGTGAAATGTGAGTCCCCCTATACACAATCACGATGTTGTAGATGGTATGTTTACTTGTTATTCACGGGAACAAGTGTCGTTTATTGAATATAGAGACATCGAATTTTTTATTTGACCAATGCTACAACCACTACTAATTTGATGGTCATCTTGATATTTTTATCGCATCGTGCTGATGTGATGTCCCAATTTGGGAAAATTGAATACCTGCACAAGACTCTTATGTTTAATTTAAAATTACATATTACTAGAATAACATACGTTTAGATATTGACTGTGTAAAATAGCGTTTTAACAACCAGTCTTCATGAATTCAAGATGAGTTCTTTAGTGATTAATAAATACTTTATGTTCTTGGCTAGAATTCAAATAAGTCTAAAAACAATTCATGGACAGACTCGTAATTGTCTAGCTACTTCAACGAACTAATACGAAGTAACATAATTGGTCGAAAAAATGGTAACTTGAAAATTAAGCGAATTAAAATGTACTCTTTATGAATTACAACGATTACCTAACGTTATCTTACCAAGTCAGAGTTGGCTCCACGTGAAATATAATAATCCTTTTTTATAAAGAACAGTAGTGTTTAAGCAAACAACTAAGTAACTAAACAAACCTTAATTACTTAAACTTGAAAATGCTTGAGATCAAGTGACATGGTATTTATTTATTGATGACCTCTCTAAAGAGGAAAATATCCTTTCATTAATAAAAACTGCACATTGTGCTCAGATTCTTTGTCACGAAAAATCGCGCAATCTGTAATAAGGTATGTAGTTATATACTCAAAGACATGTCCAAATAAAATGAACAAACTGATACTAACGTGCATATATATACGAATTATGCGTGTCATCGGTAACTTACGTAACAATCTCTATAATCAATCCTATGACGATCAGCACGCGATCGAATACATTTTTCTAAACTTTTTTTCCATGAACGAATTCGTGGATGAATATCATAGTATTTAATTGGAAAGTGTTTTCGCATATCATCATAGCAAGTAATACGGAAACCACAAACACATAAATGAAAACCTTTTTCTCCGATAATTCTTGCCAATTCCTATTAATGGAGAATGAAAAGTAACATTATGTTAAAAACTACAGTCTATCAACACGTTTAGCAAGAAAAACATTCAGTTTCTTTCAATAAGTGATTGTCACTTTGTCGTCTCCTTGTATATCGGTATTACAACAATTGAAATTTTATCACTGCTCGTTTTAAAACACACCAAAGTAATTCTTTTCAGTAATATAATCAGTATGACAGTTGAACGCATACGTAGTTCAGTTTCAGTGAAATGAAAGTAAACAGAAAAACAAAAAGAATACAAAGCTATCTTTGATGTTTTTTAGGCAAAAGCAAAGACAAATTCTGGATAGACCCATGTAAATTTTATTGTTTTTATAACATACACATGTTTATAGATAATCCACAACCGTTAGCGAAGAATGGAACTGTTAAACTAACAGACTGATATCATCAACTGACTTAAATAAGACATATATTGAAAACCAGGAGGTACTGAGAGCAGTGATTTAACGGTCAAGCGTTCGTGCACGAGACCTAAACTCCCGGATCCGGTCGTCGATGGGGTAGCAAATGTGCACAGTCCTGAGGAGTCCCATAACAGGATAAAAGAACAATACATTGCTTCTCATTTCATGTCTGTCTAACTCCAATCAGTAGTTTAATATGTCAACAACATCCAATAATCTACACAAACCTACGTACTGATTAATAGAATACAATACGATATGAATAGTGAGATCGATAAACGAGAAACTGGCTCACTTTACTAGCTCTAGACTGACATGTTTTCCATACAGCGAAAACCGAATCGGATGCAGACAATCTCATTTCTTCTTCAAATGCAAATTCCTCCAAATTAAATTTCTCCTTATATTTTTTTTGATGTGTAAGAGTACGTAGATGATTTTCTATATCATCAGCTCCAATTAAATCTGCTTTACAAAGTGAACAGCTATATTCCAAATCTCGTGTATTGTATACTTGCTAAAAATAATAGGAGATAGGCAGTAGATTGTGGGGGTGCGGTAGGGGAATACAAATCTATTTATTAACAGTGGTGGAAAAGATGTGAAGTAATTATCTTCTACAAAAACATAAGCATAATCATATACAATTGATTATTCCTAAAGAAATTATTGAGATGGAATACTCTAATGGATACAGTAGTATGGTGTTGTATTTTTCAGGTAAAAATCAGACAATTCAAAAACCAGATAATTCCTTCAATAAGAAAAAAAATCAGTATTATTTGGTGCATTTATTAAAAATGAGGAGATTTAATGATAACAGACTACTACTTCTCACACTACTGTGGTGTATACTATTTATGTTGACAGATATAAGTAATATGTAACACCAGTCAGAAGTAGAATGCCTGCAGAAGACTGAGAAGATTGAATTGAAGAGAACAGAAACGTAAACAAAGAATAATTATAACGACAACAGAATCAAGAATATTACGAAGCACGTAAAGGATAAATGAATGAAAATGTGCAAATAATGTATTTAACGTATAGTTTTCATATTTTACAAAGGCAGTGTAATTATGCATTAAATACACACCTGAGTTCTCGTTCACTATACTATTGCTACTTAAAAGAGTTGGACAGAATATCAGTTTAAAATTAATGATGAAAAACATATTGAATGAATCAAGAAACATTTTTATGCTGAAGACTTAATTGTGATTTATCTTCTTCATGAAATAAAAATGATTACTTAGGAAACAATAGTTAGGGATAGTGATTTTGAACCCATATCAATGATTGAACGATTTTTACTCTTTATATAATTATACTGATTTGTTTGTTTTTAATAACTAGATGGTTAATTAAAAAAAAGAAGGATACTGCAGCTTTGGAAGACTCTGTTGTCAAAAAAAATACAAAGTGAAAACTTCTATTTACTTATTTTTTTGTTCTGAAAAAGGTGACTTACCTGAATATTCAAAGTTGTCTGTGCATAAATTGTTAGTTACACCACAATCTCAGGATGTATGTGAAGAGAGAAAAAGGGGGAGAGAGAGACAGACAGAGAGAAGTTTAACATTTCGATAGCCACACACTGTAGTCACACCTCCACGTTTACATGGATTGATCCAATGTTTTATCGATATAGGATGTTAATATTTGTAAATGATACTACGTCTCTATGTTGCTATGCATTTACATATACATATATATTTTCTAAAATAACTTTACTTTTACACAGATTAACGCTTTTTCTCTGTTGTTGAATGGAAGGACACAATAATCCAACACATAAATGCGCGGATGACCAAAGATTCTCTAATAATAAATAAGAAAAGTTGGTAAAATTGGTAGGTTTTACAGCTAACTATAAAGTCTATCTTTGTGTGCGTGCGGATGTAATGATTACAAACTAGACAACGCAAGTCACCTTGAAGCAACTCTGTAAAGTTGTAGTAGCCCACGATAACTAATTAAAAGTTATTAGACGTTTGGATAATTATTATGATTATCATCATTATCATCTCAAGTAACCCAGGATATTCAGTGAGGCAGTCAAGAATCAAAGTTTTCGGTGAATGTTTTTCACATTCAACCTACCTCCTGAATAAATTCCTCGCCAACTGGATTTGGTTCTTGAGAGATTAAATGTTTCAAGTCGAGGAATTTTTGCAAAAATGCATTTCCAGCATCCAATTCGACTTCCTTACAGTCTCCATAGTTCCCATATGGAACAGAGCAGTCTGGAAGAAATTTAAAATCAAAAATTTAGGATAAGTGACTAACTGCAGTAACATAATGATCAACAAATTTTATGAACAAACTAAGAGTAACGACATAAACTGATTTTACGACACCGACAAACTCTGCACATCAGATGATTTTTTTCAAATACTTCAGTTAAAACAAATATTACAGTCATCCTTTTTACGGATATTTGTCAGTCCACAAAAAGAAAACATGGGAATGCCAATACTTGAAAAGTTATTTTGGTTTGATATGCTTACAGGTGCAAAGACCACGAAATTGTCTCTGACGCTTGGAAGATATAGTTTGTGGATTTGAATCACACAATGACTGAAAGGATTTCGTACGAAAATTGATAGCAAACACCTTGAAGCAATACAATAAAATATAGACCAACAGATATCGAATGGTGAGATTCTACAGTACGGCTGTGTAACTGGATTCAATACTATGTAGACTAGTGATACATACACAGTAATACTTACAGACTAAACGACTACATGAGAAATGATTAAATTAGATTCTAAGTTAGCCTTAAACAATAAATACACACAACATTCAATAAGAACAGTAGTAATTTGCTTCTTAAAAATGAAAAACTATTTTCGAGGATAAAGTACTTACCTTTATTCATATACAATGTGAACGAACCCAATGGATCATTAGCAACTTCTTCCGGTGTCTTTTTCAGTTGTCCTCTTAAAAGTCTAGCAACTCTACAAAGACGTTTATGCTTTTTCCACTTTAGATGAGCATAAAAGTGACGACCATTTTGAAATGTTTGTTCGCATACATCACAATAATCTGTACGTCTTGGAGCCTTTTTCTGTTTTGAACAAGAAGAAACACTTCATGGTAAATCTCAATTGTTAAAATCAATCATAATACGATTAAGCAATAAATTTTATGAAATCCAATAATCAGTAACGAATCTACTCTTAAAGGGGCTTTGGTTAAACATTGTGCTTGTTTCAGGAAAACAATTTTTAAAAAAATATAAGTTGGTAAATACAATACACAACCAGTTACAAACTTGTAACATTAGGTCCCAAAGTATCCTTCATTGTGTGAACTCATTAATAAAAACCTCCTTGAAATCGTTTATTTGCAAACAGATCAAAAAATTGTTGGAAACGAAATATGTGACAAACATACTTTATAATGTGAGATTTTTGTCACATTTTTTAACGAAATAAAATGACATTTTTAACCAAAAAATGTTCAATTTGATAAGCATCCCATGAAAATGATCATACTGCAGTAGTGTACCGACCAGCATCACAATGACACCAAAGGTAATATGGATTAAGTATACACCACTACTTTGACTTTTATAATAAGACAGATCCTAATTAGACAGCATAAACCAGATAAATGGACCTTTAAAGTACATTCGACGATTTACTTTGAAGTGTGTATAAGCTATTTAACAGTTTTGTATAAGTACTTTAAACTAAGATAGTATTGAATACATATTGTATCTAAGATCGCTAATTAATAGATGATTAAGTACGATGTGAACAACCGATACATCACTGTCCAATAAAAAAATGTTATTCATATATTCGGGATTAACTTTCACATCATGTAACGAGTATACACTGTCGTCGAGCAATTTCTTTTGGAGCTACTTATCAAAATGTCATTAATGACAAAATCAGGGAAATGGTACGATTAAACAATCTCTCCAGTAGTTTGTTAAGTTACAGAGGTGACTGTACATCATCATTAAACCTTGGGCGTTTTTTTATAGGGATTCTAATTCACCGATATTTTCAGACACAACCATCTTTAACACATGACTGAATTGGAAAACCCCTATTCAAATATTACTCTGATATCCAAAACACGACTATTGGCCCATACAGCGCAAAATAAGCATTCGAAAGGGAGTGAAGGTACGACAAATATGGTCGCGACATGAACGGAACGAAGTCAGCCTTTGACATATTTTACCCAAGTATGTGGTATATCATGTAGACACAATGATCCCTACATAAACTGAGTAGGAATTTTCGAAGATGAAATTATTGTGGTGATGGACCATTTTTAGGTCTCCAACCACCCTACATTTGTAAAACGCTTAAAATGTTTTTTTTAAAAAAAGTTTAATTACAAGTATAGGTTTATGTAATCAACCTCGAATCGTACACGATTATGAGAGCTAGTGATACCACTAAGTTACTTAGACCGAAGTAGGGAGAGCATGATTCGAGTCTTTAATTAAATGGCTGGGATTATAGTATATCAACATCCAAGACAATATTTTACCGATACAGTTGGTTACGCTTATACGTTTAGCAACAGAACTAGCCCTTAGATGCGACTGGACTACAATTTGTTGGAGAGTAGACAGAGGATAACCAATATAAATTTGGATAAGAACTTCTTTACGAAAACAAGTTTGTCCACATCTATTCTATTAACTGAAATAGACATCGCAACATGTTTTTAGAAAGAAACCAATCCCTAAATTGAAACTTCAGGTATTCTAGAACTAACAAGAGAGACTAATTGTTGAGACATACACTTCAGTTTCATTTTAGGTGAAAATATTCTGGGAAGTAAAATTGACTCTATAAATTCCCGATGATATACAAATTGTAACCACTTATGAAGTATAATTTAGTAACCCCGGTCAATAAAGCTGAGTAGCAATTGCAGCCCAATAGATGTAAAATGAGATGATAATCATAAAAACTCGCGACATGTATTTCACTTACAGATTCTCCTTCGTCTGACTCATTTTTGTTACGATCAGACTTTTTCATATGTCCCTCTGCTGTGATATGATCAAGGTATTGTTCTTTTCTTTGAAATGATCGTTTGCAATCTTCACAGTAGAAATTAGGTTTTCTGTTTCTGTTCTAAAAATTTAATAAAACTAATTCCTAACAGAGTGTGGTAGAGCAAATTAACTGGTAATACAATTACATGAGGTACTGATTCGAAATCCTAAAGGAATTAATCATGAAGTCATTGTCTTTTTTAAATAACACATCAAAATAATTGGACATGATATACAATTATTTAAGTTTATGATGGATACACAGTTTAGATTATCAAAGATGACTACTGCACTAAAAATGATTTTTGGAATTTATGATCGAGGTACATAAATGCTCATGATATGATACATATACAAGTTACTAGCATTCATCCATTGGATTTTCATCTCGAGAAACAAGAATGATTGGGATGAGTTACAACACATACACAGTTACTAACAGGAAGAAGAATAGATGTCAGAATGATTTATTTTTCAGTTCGATGTGAAATCGTAGTAATTCACCGCTAGAAACTTCCAGCGATAGTCTATAACCGATTACAGATAAGTTTTTCATTAGTTTCATTTGTTTAGAGTTCTTCTTACGTTGTATTATCTAGTGTGCAGTGAGGCTATTTGAACCGATTTTGGTTTTGTGAACACTTGTAACCAAATGAAAATCGTCTGCTAGGTTTGGAGACAGGTTTTCATGGTATCGACCCTACCTAATTATTCAAACCAACATACGAAAATGAAATGTGTAAACTTTACAACTGAATAAATATAAAATGAAATGACTTACATTACTTCTGCGGTAGTCACTTCTAGACTTTCCTTTACCCCTTCTATCTTCAGTTGTATTAAAGCTACGTTTAAAATTACGGATGTGCCTTTCAGTATCCAAATGTATGGAATAAGTATGCTCATCCGTGAATGCTACATCACAGTATTTACAGTATATTCGTAGTTTAGGTTTTCGATTCTAAAAAGACAGTGAAAACAAATAGTTAAATCTGTTTAGAACTTTTAACTACTCATTTAACAGGTAAAACTATGTGTACTTAGTTTGGTGATTCTGGGCGGAGGGTACTATAACCCGGTTATCCAAATACAGTAACAGAAGTAATATTTGAACTTGGAACTTATTGGTTGAAATTCAAGTTGCTTTGACTACTGAGAAATAAAACAAGTGATCAAAAAAACTCTAAAACAAAACCGTTTGACAGAACAGACTAATTATTCAACTTATGTAAAAATGAGTAACATAAAGAGAGCATAGTCACCTAAAGCTCAATAATAGATATTACGACAAACAACAACTTTGAAGGATTAAGTTGTGCAAATTAAAATCCATCCACTCTGTTTTCATTTTAAAAAATATAACCAGTAATATTATATTTATTTATCTAAAAAGTTGACTGACTTTGTTCCCTGTGAACAATAATGAAATAATACCGTAAAGGCTAAACTAAACTAAACTGGGAAGCCTGTGAAATTCTAAACTAAACCTATCAGCATATATGGTCAAATTGTGACCTTTCCTTAAAATATAGAGATTTTGTAAATTAGGTTAAATAAAAGTCACCGATTTCGTGCAAAATATACATTTATGTAATATTTATCAAACTCAAGAGTTAGCTGAGTACGCAGGAACATTCATCAAGTGAACACTGAACATTATCTTCCCAACTACATGTCACCAATTCATTGTGAGTTAATGTGATTTCGAAAGAGTAAAAACAAAACAATGGTACAATACAACATTTAAATCACTAAAATAAAAGTTCCAATATATTAATAAATAAATAGCGCTGAGAAAACTTGACAGCCTTACACTACTAATATATAACAGGACAATGAGCAGAAAGATTGTTGAAGAGAAATTACAAAGGGTTTACATAAAGCATATACAGCCTTAGATCATCTACTTGCATTTCGCTGTGTGTTTTAAAGTCCAAACTGTCCTATCGTCTGGTCATCAAGTGTTCTGCCTACATCATGCCTTCGATGTACTGAAACTCTTCAAGCCGTCTGACGAAAGTAACAACTTTAAGACCATGTTCCGCAACATACTACTTACAATCAATCTTGTGAGTAGCGTCCACCACACTAACACAATACAATACATCGTTTCTATTCTTTAATAGAACACATAAATAAAAAAAATTATGTGATTAAAATCTAAATCTCAATGACTTTAGGAATTATTAAATAATAAGCGTTAATCACTAAATCGGTAATTACTTGTTCAAGTATAGGCGTAGACGGAGGAGGTTGATATCGTGGTTGACTATTGATTGGTGGCTCTCGAGAATGATACCAATAACTTGAATCATGTGATGGAGTTTGGAATTGATTCCCACCTAAAAATAAAAAAGATAAAATTAGTTTGCATGAGATGCAAAGAAAGTAATTAGAGTAAAGGTGGATGAATGAAGTTTGTAAAACTTACAGTATGAGAATTTAGAGAGAATTAGACACATTAAAACAGAAGGAACAGGTAACTTACTGAATATCACTTATGGTACATAGTATATCGCTGACAAGCTTACGTTTGAAGCAACTAACTCTAGATTACCCATCGATGTGACGTACTTTTCAAATGTTTATCAATTTTGGGGTCGTGGAGATTATTGAGGTCACTAACAAGCCCAGGTTAGATAATCAGTGAAAACTTGGAAGGACTGTATGGAAGTTTCACCTTAGTATGGAACTACGCAATGGATGTTCACGATCTCACCGCACAGGACTGAACCTAAAAACAATCGGTATCGTATGCGAACCCTTGAACTCCAGACCAATGACAAGGCACCCAGTGGTATACAAGTCTAACTTTCATTCAACCCACGACTACCTTCCAATATCTTTGGTGGGTAACTGCCTCACATTCAACACGGTTGAACTCCAGTGATCACGGTTTCTTACTAGGACTCCGGAAACCCATCCCCCGAAGCGTGTCACCAGTAAGCACATGGTTTTTAAAATCTTTGCGACAGAAACATGAAAAACTGGCAGGAATGAGTAAAACTGGATGATAGTCGCATTAATCCAATATACGAACTTTTAAAGAAATTGATTGGATATGGTCGTTTGTATAGAGGTTTATGCTGTTTGCTTGGGCAAAAGTTTAACTGGATTCGATATACAGAATAGTTATTTCAATCACAACGTGCACGAGATTATCTTTCACTGTATTGCACAAGGGGAGAGGGGGATAACTATAAGCTTACTTTATTTATAGAAAAAAGGCTTCATGTTTAAAAATAACATTCTTATGATGAACTACGACAGGTGAATTATGTTAAAGAAATCTTAGATGTAAACGACCTTTTAGAATAACCGTATAAAAAAACCAATGGTGAAAGCCCACACAAAACAGTATTGAAATTTTTTGGATCACGGTTTTTATAGATGTCAATAACATTCTCGCATGACGGAGGACGTAGTCACATCTAGTAGACGACATTCCGTGAAAGAGTTGTATTCACTGCTTCCAAATGCGAAAAGATGAGACTGGATATAAAACAATGTGGTTAGTTTGAAAAAGGAAAGATCTACGTTTACGTGAGTTGGAAAACCTTAAAACTAAACAAATATATGGTGTCTACTCAACCACATAACATATCAGAGCAAAAGTTAGAAAAATTCGGAGTATGGAAAAGAATAGAAGCAGCTTACTCCATTGAGCATTATAACCAGGTTGAGTAGGTGTGGAATTTGTGGAATATCCATACTGACCATTAAAATCATTAACGGGCGATTCATAATCTTGTACCTAAGAAAAAGTTTAGTAAAATTAGGATTTAATTGAAATTTTTATTTAAAATTTTGTTTATAATTGACTGGATGTGGAGAGACTATCTGATGGAATATTAGGACTGTGTTTCATAAACCTTTGCAATGACTGACAAATATATGTATACCTTCTATTCACTAGCACGTTTTATATCAATTGTAATATCTGTTTTCTTGATAAATCCGATTTTAATCATTTCAGACACTGTATATGCAAAGCTGAAAAAACTACACCCTCGATGTGCATATAATATCGTCAAAGTGATTTTCAAAAAACTTAAAACGTGAATTTTACTTTTTTAAAAAATAGTTGTTTGGTCGGAATTCATCTATCTGGTAAACTTTTCCATACAGTTTCGTGAAGTAAGATACGTATATTAAATGTAACTTAAATAATGAAGATTAAACTGAGGAGGATGACCTCCGAATTTATGCTTCATTTTACCTACAAAGAATGACCTATGAACTATAGACAGAAATCTTAAGCAAAGGTTGAGTGTTATAAAGATTGTATATTAACGTGTAACAACTTGGTTCCCAAACGTTTCTATCGTAAATTCGGGTTGACTTCATTTTTGTCACAAAACTAAGTGCATGAACAACTGTGATTATACAATTTTCCTAAGATTCAACCAGTCTTGCGACTATAGCATACTGCATATTTTTGTAACCCATACTCGGTTTTGAACGTATGTTCAAAAGTGTTGTTTTATCCAATATGAGACACGAACACTGAATTCACTTACGATGCACAAAGAAAACAGTCAAGTGCTAAAAGCATGATTCTAAGTCGTAACAAAATTTATTTTACCCTCAATGTACCGAACAACCAATTAGATATGGCGGATACGAAAAGTCGATAGCATCGAATATGGATTGTAAATGGTGAAACATGGAAATAGGGATATGCCACGACTCATCTGCAACAGAGTTGTTTATAAATCTAAACCTATTTATTTTTAAAAGGAATAATTATGGTTTTTGAAGTGCTCGTCTCTTCAGTATGACGCATTATTGTACATCACAACAATTGCTGGGAAAGCAAAATCACTCACAACCATATTTAACGATCGTACATTTATTAAATTTAACTGTTTATACAACTTACCTGGGGTCCCATATAGTCAGTGTACGGAGGGGGCTGCTGGTTAGTCGAGTCATAACCATAGGTATATTGTGGCTCTTGAACAGGTGTATGCACTTGGTTTGGACCTAAAAAAGTTTTAACAAATCACAAGTGCTGAAAGGACAAAATTTGGAGATGCTGTCGATCCCTACCGACAATACGGTCATTACGTTTGCATGTGTTAACTACTCCACTTAGAAATGTACTGGCAGTTTAAACAAAGAGAACAGTTAATTGAGCTATGCAAGGTGGACTAAATGTCACTTAGTATCAGAATTAATCAAATACCAGTATGATATGATGCCTAATGACTCACTTCAACCTAATGTGTTGTAAGCAATTATTCGGTCGACCTAAGAAACAAGAGAGCTAAAACGTAGATAGTCACAAGTCAGGTTTTGACACAGAACGAAATGAAAACAGGAAAATAGTGACAACAGTAATATTATTTCACTTGTACACCTGAATCATTCCTGTTGTTGGTTCTAAGGGTTGCAATACAAGTTTCTGTTGGAATATGTATATCCCGTGTGGAGAGCCTAGATATTGTCATTTAACCACAAGTACTTTTAGTAAAGTTGAATGATGGTCAAGAGTGGGGTCCAGAACAAGTACTTCGCCTCATTTGAAACTCGACTGAATGTACCTGCACCTTAGTGTTGTTCACAAGCCGTTGGCTACCTGGACTCAGTAGCTCACTGGATAATGCGACAGTGTTTGGAGCGGAGTCCCAGCGTAAACATCAACATTGGGATGTTGGCACACCCAAATGACGAGCTGTAAGTAAAACTAATCTTGTCTTGAAATCCGATTTAGCTACCACTCAACTTTACTGAAAGCAGTAAGAAGTTTGACAAAGTAAACTAAACAAGTAGAAACAATAAATGAAATATAGTGTGTGGTGCCGAAATTTTGGACAAAAGTGGATGTACATGAAACTGTCTACAGTATCCTTAAAAACCCATTGCAAGGATGACATCTCTGTACATGACTGAAGTCAACAGTTCTGCAGATCAAGGGAGCCTCCAACTTTGTTCGCCCACCATCCCTTTCCCAAATTACTCCTACGTTAGTCAGAGTACCACGTTGGAGCAAACAGTAGTTTAGCACAAATAACTTATGCTCTGACCGTGTCCTTTTTCGAAGGTATACAACTTTATCAAATGAAGTGGTTAATGTGCACGATAATCTCCTACATCCCTAAACTAGAAAGTGCGAAAGCAACTTTAATAAGAATAGATTGAGAAGTGTCTTAGTTAGTAGCAAAGACCAGCAAAGGTAAAATAATCGAGACAAATTAATTTAATTTGTGTTTGGATTTACTAAGACTGGTCTAGAGGCGACAATTTAGTAACAAAACTACATCACCGAATGACGTATTAGAGACGTGTGTACTATATCCAATCTATAATTTACTCCAGAGAATCCTCAGAACGTTAGTAGGTCCAATTCATGAGGTGACTGAGTGCGGATCTATAAAAACGTAGACAACCTTCTACAAATTCCCTGATTCCTTACTATCGACAAAGCAGTATTTGTTTGCCTTTGATGTATCACAAGAGCCCTATTGAACCAGTAATTACTTGAATTCCGTTTTGCGAACTCTCTTTTCTCTAAAGAATTCGAGTGATATGCCAATGCCAGATTTTAGTCTTTTTTTTCTATGAATACGGAGGAAAGTTTGGAGTCCTGATTATAGCACTGAAAGTTAAAATGGGCAGACTAAAGAAGCTTTATCATCCAGCTTTCAAGGAGTTTATTAGGCGCCTGATTAGATTAACTTTAGTCACAACAAACATCCATGAAAAGGGTTTATTACACCTATTTGGTGCTTGTAACATATAGAAACACTGATGTATAGCTTTCCATGACTACATCGGTTTAAGTTGAAACAATTTACAGCAACAAAAGACAAGAACGATGTTAGAATAAACGATAGTAGCAAAGGGAGAAGTGAAACAAGTCATAGATAAAACCATGATAGCTGAGATAGATTGAGTCAAATGATTCCCATCATTCCGAGTCTGCATTTCGCTACACAACTGAGATTAGTAGCTAATATCTTTGTGGACTGCTATCTTTATTCAGTCTGGGGACTCGGCTTTTGAAAACTACACGAGGATTCAGTTACCGAAAATGACGGACTTGTTTAAACCTCAATACATAAGTAGTGGTTTTGTGCTTGAAGGATTTAGTTTTCGAGTCCTTTAACCACACATCGGAAACTTGCTTCATCCACTTCGAGTGAACAAGCCGAGCAACAAGCTTCAGTATAAAAGTTTGGCTCAATGCCAGTATATGATACTCCGCTTGGTTACTGCGTTGCACTATTTTTTATGCCAACGAAGTTCTTGGACAAATGGCAATAAAACAGAGGATGAAATGGATTCGTACCCCAAGTATAATTTGGTTGCATCGGAAACATGTATCCATATTGTCCAGTATAATTGTTCATCTTAGAACGTCGTCTAAAAAAGAATAATTGGAAATGAATACAAAAATTGATCACAGAACAAATGGGATGAAAGTTGAGTATGAAGTCTGCAAATGAACCGAGTTGCAGTGTGGGAAATAGTAGTACGACCCAGGAATTCTACATCCAATCCAATAGGTCACCAACCACTTTATAAAATAACCCATAAAATTTAGTTAATGAAAATTAATAAACAAGTTGCATTAAGGCTGAACACCATAGAATAAAATGATTAGTTTTAACCTATGCATTTCAGTCGTTAATTCGAAACCATCTTCATACATGATTCTTCAGTCTTGAACTGTTTCCTTGTCGAAACTACTTAAACGTACTTACCAGGGCAGTGTATTCTTGATCCTGATACAAACACTCAATAATTAGCGTAATTACCAGGCGGTTCATAAAATACACTATGGTTCTCATACATTCACTTAGATCAGGTTCAAAAGTGAGGCCATATGTCACAGTGTAACTTCCCTTCATAGTTTTTATACAATATAAAGTAGTATGAATTCGATGGGTTTGCGTTTGATCAGTTGACAGACCCGAAGGATTTTGTCCTAACGTCCTGATGCCTTAAGTCACTTTAATGATCACGACTACTGCAACCATCCCTATATCTATCTCTTAACATATTTAGCCATATTGTAGTTAACCACAGGTCTAAAACTTTACTATCTATCACCATGATAACTGACATGCTAAGATGAGTTTGACTCCAACAAGTGTGTGGTCTGCAAGCTAATGCGCTTCTATTACATCACAACTGGCTAAGATCTGAAGGGGAAAATTCATTAGATGTGGTCACTCTTCCAAGTTGTCTGTCCTTGATCCGTCTGTCTTCCGCAAAAGTAGTTCGACAACTAAGGCATTTTTAACCTTAATAGTTTCACCTGATTACACACCTGTAAATTTCGCAGCCTTTTTACAACTCATGAACTGTATTACCACAGGTGTTTGGCTCTTCAAATACTCCAACTTCAAGGTTGTGTCAGACCTGTCATCCGAAAGGTCATATGATGCAACTTTGTACCCCGATATTATCCGGGCAAATACTACTCTCCAAACCCACTCGGTTAGAGTGGCTTAGTAAACATTAGTTTTCCATAGCCGCCTTGTCCTTTGTATTTCTAACCGTATTGATGTCATGTAGCAGGCAACGGTGTTTTTTGCATCTATGATGACTCTAGCATTCCTTTTACTTGTATCCCCACGGCCTCATGACTCCCATCGACACACGAACCAGTTCCTCGGCTCTTGATTGGGACCATCGACAGGGTTAAAATGTCGTACATTGATGAGCGAAATGCTTATTGGGACTGGAAAAACCGACCGAGAGCAATCCTAACTTGAGATGAAATAAACTCATTAGGCTTAACAAAACTCGGCTTTTACTTCCCGTCGATTTATCCACTGGTATCGCCCACAACCAGGTGGAAGATTTACTATTCGCTCCTAAGGAATTCAAGGAAATTCCTTCAGGGAAGATGTGTGAGTACTGTTCTGGTAGTTGAGTGAAGTTAATACAATCGATAGAATTTGATCACCATTTAAGAATGATGAGGATGACATAGGCTTCCTCTAAGTGACCGACCAACTGCTGCAATGCAGTGAAACGTACCAAACATCAATCTACGCGATTTTCTAGGAACACGAGATACTTCGAAATCCAGATGGGTAAAACGTACATTGCCAACCGTAATGTAGATGGTAGCAGAAACGACTAAGTTATCCACAATGATGTACGTTCTGGAGGCTAGCGAGTTGTCGATCAACATACCTGTTTAGAGAACTTTTTGAATACTTGCTGCTTAAAGCCAATTTTAAGTTTTTCAACAGAACACATCAAGTGAGCAGAATTTTCACGTACAAGCGGTATAATTCCCAGAAATTCAATAAAGAACACGTCTTCAAAAGTATTCACGGACGTAAATTCAACAGTACGAGAGCTTAGTGACCTGGCGAACTTGTATATGTTAACGCTTAGTAAACAACTCGATGGGTTTTAACACACTAAGTCAATAAATCAAGTACTTAGAAATAATAAACTTGGGATGGTGAAACGCTAGTATTAAGACGGACTATTGACAACTAGAAAAAATTACCAGCATCACTAACATGACAGATCGGGAGCAAGAGAGTGACCTGCAAAGCAACCACCTAATAGTGTTATCATTACTTATTACCGGGCAATCTCAGCTCAAAGACTACATATTAGGATTTTTTGAGAATCACGGGTTCACAAATCTTCAGGTTGTGTAAGGATATTTAGACATTAGTAGAAGCGATTATGCATGCCAAAGGCTTGTGAAAACTACTGAGAAATACTTCCACGCCATCAGCGTTACGGATCAAATACACTAGAAGTTTTATGTCACATCCAATTACAAAGTGTTTTAGAATTTACAGAGGACAATGATATGTCTGTTAACAGTAAACCGCCCATGTTGTTCAACGGTGGCTGAGTAAAATACAAAAAGCACTGACGAAAACAAACGCGGAGTTACATTAACTATCAGTTTATTAAATCTAGGTCACTTTTCTGACCATAAATAACAAAGGATAAACTAACCCCAACAAATATGGAAACGAAAGTGAACCTGCGGATTTAGTTAAAGGCCATCCATTCAATACCCAATATTATGGTCCCAAGGATTAGTCCAAATTCAAGAACTGTCGAATAGATGTATATAAAATTGTAAGCTGTTTTTTGACTCAGTCTACTTTCAATAAATATTAAGCAACCACTCAACTTGTGCTGATACCAAAATATGCACCGTCTAGGCGCCTTCAGTTTCAGATTGGGAAGGACCAGAGAATAGGTGGCCTGTGTTAGTCCTGGCAAAGATGGTCTCTCAGTTCACCCAAATTTCTTTTGAAAAAGTTGACAGATGATGCTTCGATCATGTGTTGAGGTAATAAATTCCACTTGCTGATGATTCGATGAGAGGGTTGATAGTCAGCTGACAAGTAATTTGTCCAGTGCTTGTGAACTTTTTGGAATGTCCTCGTAAATTCTCTGTCTTGAAAGACAATTAAAATGAGGGCATATTATATGCAAACTGATCATTTAGTAATTTAAAAACTGTGATCAACTCACCGCTGACTCTTCGATATGACAATAGGATTATGTTCAGTTTAGCCAGTCGAGCATCATACGGGAGCATCGCTATTTCTGGGATCAGCTTAGTTGCTGTTCTTTGAACCTTTTCCGAAATACCACTGTCTTGTTGAGCAGAGAATAGCCTCTTGTATACAGCACTCAAGTTTAGGACGCACGAATACTGTGTACAAATGCCCTGGTATGGCCGAGAGTGGGGTGGGCGTGCCCTCCCTATCGAATTGCTCTCAAACGGCCACGCGTATACAGCCCCTGCCAGAGAAGCCCTACCCATTGCCTTCTCGTGGCGGAGGTGTTTTTTACGCAAATGAGAGGACGAAAAGCGAATATCAGTCACTTATTCACTCTCTTTTATTCCCACTTTGTGTATCCTTATTTTTCGCTTATGGTAGAAACTCGGTTCTATCTAAACGTTCTCGAGTCACTGTCCGGTTGAAAATTGTATGCTACCACCAAATACGAATACTGAAGCGGTTTTTATGAAACCACGCGCATCATTCAGACTGGCTACCTTCAACGCTCGCACACTTATGCAGGTCGGACAACAGATAGGGCTGGCTATGTCTTTGGAAAGTCTTAATATTGATGTTTGTTGTCTGTCCGAGGCCCGTATTCAAGACTCTGGTGAGGTACTACGAATTCGTTCTCCACCTGTCGCTTTAAAAAGCCTGTTTCACATGCGTTTGTCCGGGGACCCTTTGGGATCTTCGTCTGGTCTTGCTGGCGTTGTTGTCGTACTAAACGCTAGAGCTGAGGCAACACAAATCGACTGGATCCCCAATAACAGTCGGTTATGTGCTGTTAGATTAGAAATTTCCATCAAAGTGAGAAGAAATTAGTGTGAAAAAACGATGTCTTTTCGTCATCTCCGCCTATGCGCCGACAGATTGCAGCCCGGATGCAATCAAGGATGAATTCCACCATCAGTTAACTGTTCTCCAGAAATTGCGTTCGACAGATATTGTGGTACTAGACGTAGACTTGAATGCTAAGGTCGGGCGTCTAGGTACAGTTTATGTGGACGATGGCGACTTGTTAGTCGCAGGACAGATAACGGGGACCGTCTACTGCAACTGTGCACAGACCACAACCTGTTTCTGGCCAGCACTAATTTTCGTCACAGTCATCGTCGACGTGCCACCTGGTGTCCTCCCTCTGCATCCCAAGCCTGGACTCAGATTGATCACATCGCGATCAGCTACAGCTGGCGTGGTTGTGTACAAGACTGCCGCTCCTTTTGGAGTACCTATCTGAACTCTGATCATGCCTTGGTCTGCGCCAATCTTACCTTACTTTTCAGTGGCCGACGAAGTGACCGCCACCAGATGATTAATGTCAGCAAATTGGTTGCAACTTCTGTTGCAAGTAAGTATCGAACCGAGTTATTTTCTAGGCTAGTTACTATTCCACCAAAAGTATAGATGAGCACTGGTTGCAATTGCATGACGCTATGACAATAATGAGTAAAGCCGCTTGCGGCTTCGCGAAACGTCCCGCTTATAAGCACTGGGTTTCTTCGGGCTCCTTACAACTCCTTGAAGCCCGTCGGTCTACTCCGGGTGACCGTGAGTTTGACCACAAACGAAGGTTGTTACGTAGCGAAATTGGGCAAAGCTTGCGTAAGGACCGAGAAGCCTGGTGGTCGGAGCGTGCTAATGAGCTGGAAGCAGCAGCTGCATCTGGTAACGACCGGACGCTTGTGGAATAATGGTCTACTATGATATTAGTACTGCTCTAATAATAGACCTAATCCTGAAATTGTAGATTTGTCATGATATAACTGCCTAATCTATAAGATCTTACGTGGAAGTCACACCATCGACTACACCAGCTCACTGTATCGTATCAATTACCAATACATGATGTAGAACAAGGTTAGTCTAGAGAAGGAACAATATATTTAATATGAATAGAAGATATAAGGTAACATTCAGAGGGACCACGCCTGCATGGTCGAGCCATGCCATCCGATCAACTCCAATCCATTCAATTCATTCTCCGAGCCTTCTCCATTGTTAGGTATTTCTCCGCGTTAAATATTGAATATCTATTTTCTGAGTAGTCTCGTGTTCACAGCTTTGTGGATTGTGTGGCTATTGTCCAATACCACTACACTACTCTCCCACCAGAATCAACGTGATGTTGGTTCGATACCAAATTGGATGGGATCGTCGCGCGCCGGAGGTTACCAAGACTAGTAAGAATCCTCCGGGTATTGGTAAGCTGAAAGGTAAATCAAAAAGAAAGCGGCAGCATCTGGTCGGGAAATACATGTAATAATATTAAAATATCTGCCTTCATGCTTAAAACGCTTGAAACGAAAATTTGGGTGAATATTATTTGAACTATAAAGAATGGCATAACAATAATAATAATAAAACGATGCGTGCTAATAGTCGTTGGTTAATAACTTAACGTATAGGTAGTAAGTATTTTGTGTTTAGAAGTATTAAAGTAATAAATGTTGTAGAAATATTAATATTGGTATTAGTTTTGGTTTAAATTATGAAATCAATTTACAATTATGCCGGTATGTTGTCCATATGAGTTGATTTCCAATTGCATATGTATTAGTAGGCTAACTGAAGAAACAAAAATATTACCGTGGAGAATTCCAACTAGTGTTCCAGTTAGTTTGATACGGTTTATTTAGTTACGGGGAGATTTTCTCAACCTCATTTTTACTTGACCGTGATAGAATTTAGTAATACTACTAATACACATGAATGTTTATTAAAACAAAATTTAAATACGTGAGTGATGATTATATGAATTTTGGACAGATAGCTAGGAACAAATCGTTAAACATGAGTGTATTCGTAAGAGACATGCTCTAGACTCACTGTTCTGATCTGTGGCAGACTATTTATTTATATTTATACTTGCCGGCTGATTGGGCATACAAGTTAGTTGCAAGTATGCAGTTTATCATAAGGCGGAATACGACTTAATTGAGATATAGTGGTTATAAGTTATTAAAATCAGTTAGGCCTGTGTCATATTACGAAGTGATGTGGTGCTGCAAGATGTATTTAGCTAAATACGTTTTTACAAGATGATTAATAGTGAGTGATGCTCATGTGATTAACAGGGAGAACATAAGTTGTAACCAGGGGGAGTACACTCCCAACTCATGTCTATGATAATGGCTTGAACCTTAGTCAGTGTTAGGGTAAATTCGACATTGTTTTCAGTTTGCAGGAGATTTGCTCGACTGCTTATACTGATTATTTGCATGCATGATTGTGTCGCTAAACCTCCAATTAGACTGACAAGGTTTTGAGATATTTACTGAATGAGCAACTGATAGAGAAACATACTGTAATCATCTGTGATGGATGAAGATACCAAGAAAACAACACCATTTAATGGTAATTATAAGTCAATTTGTTGACCGATTTCGTTAATAGTTTCATTAATTTTATCAATCAAGTTATGACAATGCTTTATGACGATATCCTGAAACTATTAAATTTAACTAGTTATAGTGTTGATTGAGGATTAGTCAGTAGAAAAATAGGTATTGTTGCTTTAGGTGATTCGAGATTATCAGAAATTTGTAACGTTGAAGAATCCGAGACGCCTAATTTAATTATAAATTTCAATTCAGAAATATTCGTTTAGTGTTAATTCTAGTAGGCTACGGAGTTTTTATTTTAAACGTTTGTTTAGCCAACAGCTACCTAGGGATTTAGTTATTTTACTGGTGCAGTTGATAGTACCTAAATTTTTAATCTTATTATCTAAACTATGTTCGCATTTTAGGCTGCTAATATGATAAACCAATGCATAAACCCAAATACGATTAGCAACAACGACTATGATGGGTTTATTGATAAATGTTAAAGGCGATCCAGATGATTTCTAAATTTAGAAGACATGGAGATATAGTGTAACGTATGTATGGGCCAGGTTAACAAGCAGGTTGTTGACGTATATGACGATTTAAAAATAATGAACATTTCCAGAAAATAGTTTTAAGGTTTAGACTGCTTGTGAAACTTCAGGCAGGAATATGATGCGTTATAAACATTCCATAAGGAGTTACTGCATTTAGCCTAGGGACACTTACAAATATATAGCAAAAGGAACCGGAAAACATATACATGTTAAGTAAAAAAATCATTAAGTAAAATATAGGTGTCATTACCAAGGTTTGATTTGATAATTTCGAATAAATTGAGCATTGGGTTGATTGTTATAAATAAAAATAATATATTTGTAATATCCCAATGAGTAGAAAATTGGATTTTTTGACGTTTCGTGGCTTAGTGTAAGTCACTTCTTCAGAGAATAAATAACCAAAATTAAATTAATCCAAGTTTAAATAGTACAACGGAACAATGCAAGAATAATATTTGGTCAATCAAAAACAGGTCTGAACAAGTTGATGTCATGTCATTTCTGTCAAGGTGATTCATAAATGATAAGTATGTAAATTTGTGTGTGTATGTATATGTGCATATTATTCTTGCATTGTTCCGTTGTACTATTTAAACTTGGATTCA